CTTCTAGTGGTACATGACTATATGATTCCTGCACCACAAATTCCAGCTACAAGTGCAGTGGGTGTTCAAAGATAGTAAGAAAGCATTGGTACATTAAATACATTGAGGTTTAAAATCCAATGTGTTCTTGACACCTCAACTTCCAAAATATAAATCCTAGACTCCCACTTTACAACATACACACTGCAGCCGCAGCCAGTGCTCCATTCATTCAACAGCCACAGAATTTTCTGTGTAGTCCATCTCCAGTTCACATTGTACTACAGAATTGTGATTTGGCATCAAAATTCTTTCCATTGTGCCCAACGCCCTGGCCTCAGCTCTGGCTGGGGCACCTTTTAGACACTGTCCCAGGGTCTTATCACACCTCCAGGGGTGCCGTTCTGCCTCAAGTTCCCCTCGGCCATTTGCTGCTTGACTGCTGAGAACCAGTGGAGATTTCTACAGCCTGCAGCACCTCCGTGTCACCTGTCTCTCCCAGGTCTGGCCACCTCACAGCAGAGGAGATTCTGCCAGCTAGAAGAATCACACCCTTGTCCAATTATGCACTCAGAAAAGATAAATCCCCACTTCTAGAGAAGAGGCTTAACTATATGGTCTGAAATCACTCTTACCCTGAAAATAAGTTATAAAAGATAGCAGGAACAGTTCTTATAAAAACAGAAGTAAACATAAGAAATCAGTATCCATAGATACAGACAGATATATAAGAAAAAAATAAACAAGGGGAAATATCAAAACAACAATCTAACCTTACCCTGCATCTTAAACCTAAGCTTACAGCTCCTACCCAGCTCAACAGGTTAGAAAGCAGCTTCTGCCTCTGAGCTTCTGGCCAGGACATCCTGCAGGTTCTCCTGTGTACTTTACTCAGCCTGCTGGCTGAGGGCGTCAAGCCATTCCCTATGCCCAAGAACAAACTGAAGACTAACTCTGGCTCTTATGGCCAGGCTTAAGTACTTGTCTTCATTCAGTCAATTCCATCCTTCTGTGGAGTTCTTGGAGCTCAAATGTTATACATATGAACTCCTGCCCTCTAATGCATATTCACTTGACCAGTCAGACTTCTTTACTGACCCACTTATGACTGGAAGAATATTTATATCCTTTCAGACAAAGGTTACTAGTCCATTCTTCCAGTTCTAATCAAATACTATTTGGTTAAAAGATTTCCCTTCAAAAAAGTATTTTCCCTGCCTGCCTGCATTGGCACACAATATGCAAGTTATGTCCATACCTTAGCACAAACATCCAG